CAACAAAATAAATAATTATTATCTTTATAAAAAAATTATATTATTAAACCAAATATAAATTACTTATTGTACATAAATTAAATTATAAAAATTTTGAATTAAAAAATTACACAAAAAATGAGGAACTTCAAATAGTTAATTTGATACTAATATCGATATACTTTTGTCAAATTTTTATGAAATCTTCAAACATATATTTTATTTAAAAATAAAAACATCATCGTAATCTCAAAATCATATAAAACCATATTATAACATCGACTGAGATAAGGAATAAAATGAAATATTAAAATCACGATGTATCTCGCTGCATTGCGCGAGTACCCTTCTAGTATGTATATATATATATATATACACTATATTATAATAAAGTATTTGACAAAAACTCTTAAAAATTATTTTTTATACATGAAATACTGTTTATTGATGCATATTACTTAAAATTCAAGATTATAAGTAAACTGTGTGTAAGTACAACTTATTAAAGCTTTATGTTTGAATTCGTGTAATTAACTTCAGATAAATATAATCAAATAGAGGATAAACATTTCATTTTAAATATAAGAAAAACTAAAATATAATTAGGATAATAACTGAGTTTTAACAAAATACTTAATTATTATATTTATAAAAAATTATATTATTAAACCATAAATAAAAAAAATACACAAAAAAAAGAGAAATTTTAAATACTTAGTTTGGTACTAATATCAATAATTTGTTATGATATCTTCATATATATATTTTATTCAAAAATAAAAACATCACCTCTTTCTTAAAGTCACATAAAACTGTATTATAACATAAACTAAGACAAATAAAACAAAACATTAAAATCAAGATACATGTCGTTGTATTGTGCAACTACCCTTCTAATATATATAAATATAAATAGTACAGTCTAAAAAAGTGTTATTTTCGTAAAACCGGATCGGGTATAAATACAAATGTGATTGTTTTATTTAATTCTGACCAAACAATGCCTTGTCCTTTTATGGGTCCACAAACCTTATTTTCGTGTTTTGCGTTTTCTATAGTTTTATAATATTTCTCAGAGACTAAAAACTGGTTTTCATTGTCATTTTTTATTTTTATTTTATAATATCGAAATATTTAAATATAAAATATTAAATAAGAGCCAAAATGGTTATAAGTTATAAGCAAGCAATATCTTGTTATTTAATTTATTAGTATTTATATTAAAATATATTTTTTAAAGAACTCATAACAAATAAATGTATTTTATAAATAAATTACTATTTATTTATGAAATAAAACAATTTAAATTAAGTTTGTTGTAAAATAAATTTCAAAATATTATTTTTATTTAATATATTATTATTTAGACCAACATAAATTCTATCCAATATTTTTTTTAAATAAATTTGATATTTAATTTAATAATTACACGATGCAACAAATTTGGGTTTATAAAATTCTCTAATTTAGGTACGAGAACGGGTCCCGACCCATCGAGGAACACGCTCCACCATCCCGGCCGAGGACATGGATTCCCGCTAAATCAGGGATGGGGACAGGGACGGGTATCGTACTCCCTGTCCCGTCCCGTACCTGTTATATATATTAATTAATAAATTATATATATATATATATTATTTCAACTAAATCGGTAATTTATACCTAATTCCTAACTAGGTTTATAATTTAAAATTGTTATTTTTGGATATTAATATGTAATATTTTGGATGTTAAGTCAAAATACAATTACTTGATAAATTTTTGATATTACTCGATATAGATTTATATTACTCAATATTTTTTGATACGTGTGACGTTAAGTTTTATGGATTAAATTGAATTATTTTTTGGTTTTAAGTTATTTATTATTATATGATGCCGTGATATTTTTTATTAAATTAAATTCATTTTGATTTTAGGTTTATTAAAAATATTTGAGATTTAAATACATATGGTCTCTTAAATATTTAATTTAAAATAAATTACATAAAAGATAAAAAAAAATCCCCGTTTTTCCATTGGGGATGGGGAACGGGATGTGATTATATTCCCCGACGGGGATGGGTACGGGGACAGTGACAAAGATGAGTAACTGGGGACGGAGATAGGGATTGAGGTTTTCACCCCATTCCTATGCCTAATCTAATTGTCCCAGTAGACTCTATATAGGATATAACTTATAAAACTAAACGGTAAAACGTCGTATTTAAACGTGTTGTAATAAGTTTATAGAATCTCTTAAAACGTTTTACAAAGTTTTTTTTAGAACACTTTTAAAATAAAAGTTATACTAGCTATTTTATAAGATACCATTTGAAAAAATGTCTTATAAAAACAACTGTATAAAAATATGTATATATGACATTTCTCAAAAGTATCATAAAAAATAGTTAATATAACATTTTATTTTAAAAATATTCTAAAAACCTTTATAACACATCCAAAAACATCTTATAAACTTATTACAACACCTTTAAATATGATATTTTTTATTCGTTTTTATAAACTTATGTTATATAAAACAATCTATTAAATACTTATATTTATATAAAAGTTACGTTAGTTTTAAAGAAGAATAGTGAGTCTAATTCATGAGACAAAAAAGCTTCCAAAACCTATTTGTCTTTCACTTTTTCTCTTTATTCAATCCTCAAATTCCCCCTTTTCTTTTATCTTTTCCATGTCTCGTGACCAACAAATCTATTTTTAAATTCAGGACACAATTTTTTTTTTAATTAACCTCAATATCCAATCCGTTATGCGAGCCGACTAATCCCAGGACGACCACATGTTTTGTAGATAATCCGGAGTCACCGCATTTGAACCTCCGTGGCCACAAAGAGATTTTTATTCCTCCTTGGATTTGAACCTGAGACATCCTGATACTTTTAATTTTTGGAGTCAAGCTCAAACCAATCAGGCACCACCCTTGTGGTTGGACACAAATATTTTATTGTATACTTGTTATAATCTTACATTTTATTTTTAAAATGAAATTCAAGAATTCTTGCTCACAACTTTATAATATATTTTGTTTTTTCTCTCATAAAAATATGATAAAAAAAATATTATATTCATTTAATTACAGATATAATATTTTCTCAAAATGACTTCTACGACAAAAAAAAAAAGTTATATATTACCAAATGATTATCAACCTAGCAGTATCGCAGCCTTTGGTCTCTTAAAAGATTACGAGTTCAAACCTCATTATAGATGAAAATAATACGTAAGTTAATTTAAGTATTTTATATACTTAAAAAACGTTGTATTATGATGAAATTTGTTATTTAATAAAAATAGTTATAGTATAAATAAAGTTATGAATAAAAATTAAAGATGTAAATATCAGATAAGTATAAATTCGGTTAAAAACTTAATAAGGGAAAAGCTGTGTTTTCTGGATTGTCCAGAAATAGTGTACAAAAATTATGTAAGCTCGACTTTTTTCCTTAAACTTTTTAATTTAGAGATACAATTTAAATTATTAAAAATTAATTAAAAAATAAAATCTAATATAAGTTAAAAACTTATTCATTTATCTCCTCTCTTTTTTCCTATTTTTCTTCATCATATTTTCATAATATATATATATTAGAATGATACTCATACAATGTAACGAGATACATATCGATTTTAGTGCTTTTTTTTGTCTTAGTCGATGTTATAATACAGTTTTATGTGGTTTTGAGAAAGAGATAATGTTTTATTTTTTAATAAAATATAAATATAAAGATATCATTAAAAAAATATTGATATTAGAATCAAATTAACTATTTAAAATTTCTTTTTTTTTATTTCTTTAATTATTATTTTTATTTTTGGTTTAATAATATAATTTTTTATAAAGATAATAATTAAGTATTTTGTTAGAACTCAGTGATTATCCTAATTATATTTTATTTTTTTTATATTTAAAATGAAATATTTATCTTCAATTTGATTATGTTTATCAGAAGTTAGTTACACGAATTCAAACATGACACTTTAATAAGTTGCATTTACGCACAATTTACTTGTAATATTGAACTTTTAAGTAATATGCATCAATAAACAGTACTTCATGCATAAAAAATGGTATTTAAGAGTTTTTGTCTAATACTTTATAATATAGTATAAATATATATATATTAAAATTTTAAAATAGATAGTTATCTCATTAATTAAGAGCAAATTACACTTTTAATCCTCAAGATTTAATGATTTATTTGAATTTTAATAAGTTAAGATTCGTCCATGAGGTTTGGATTTTTATTTGAAAATGAGACTCGGTCAATAACTCCATTCAAAATAGACTTGAGATCAGTGAGATCAGAATAGAAGAAAAAAAATCATTTTTATTTCCTTTATATTAAAAAAAATCATTGTATTTGTGTTCTTGAAATAGAAGGGGAAAAAAAAAGAATTATTTACTTTTAAAAAAAATATATCCTTTATATTAAAAGGTTTGATAACTCTGTAATTTTAGTAATATTTTTAAAGGTAATAATTTCTTTTATTTCATTTCTTTTTTCGTTTTGGAAGGAAACTTGTTATTAAAAAAAATCATTTGTTTATGATTTCTAGAACATTTTTAAAAAATAAAATAGTATAATAATTAAAAAAATTAATAATTTGTAGATTGATTGATTTAATTTGGTCCAATTATTTTCTATATAATCGTGATATCTGATATTTAAAAATTGAAATTGACTACAGTACCCCTCCCTCTATATAAACCCATACCACTCCCCTTCAATTCTCTCTCCTCATCCTTCACCTATTCTACTTCTCTCCCATTCCCATCTACTCAAATTTACACTTTCTACCCTTCTACTTTTTTTAACTTTTCATTCCATGGCAGAAACTCAACCAAAACGCCCAAGAGAACCTGAACCTGAACCAGAAGAACTTTTTTCATGTGAAATGGAGATAACAAAACGCCATAAGAACTCTTACAACCAAATCCTCTCGATTCTCGATGACAACACAGAAGATGAAAAACAAGAAACCACCCAAGATTTGACTGATTTCTTCACGGCGCTGCAACGAGAACTCTCTTCCTCCGACCCGTTACCGGAACTTGCGGTAAAACCAGACCAGACTCCGAAACAAGAAACTGAAGATGGTGATGGAGATAAGGAAAGGGTTATTAGACACCTTCTAGAAGCTTCTGATGATGAGCTTGGAATACCCAATAGAGTGGGCGACGGCGACGGCGGAGGTGAGGATGATATTCTCGCCGGAGAAGAAGTTGGGTTTCCGGTGGCTTTATGTGATGGATTATGGGAACTGGAAGATGAAGCTGCTAACTATTATACTTTATTGCACTCGGAGCTTATTATGTAGTGGTTAGTTTTGGTCGTGTTTTATTGGGGGGGTTAGGAGTGACGAGAGTGGAACTCTTGGAGGGCGTGGATTAAAATGATGTAGCGGAAATAGAATATGGGGATTCATTCTTAAAATTTCCATTTTGGTCCTTCATCTCTGTAAAAAATATCAAAAGGTCCTCTAACTTTCTATGGAACCCTTGGAAGGAAAGAATGTTCACGACTATCGGTCGCTTAATTCTTCCATGAATAGATAGATATTCTTTACAAAGTTATTAATCCTTTTTTTAATTAATAGTCATAGATTTGGAAACATATGTTTTTTAAAATTATATTCCTTATACTTTTTAAATTAATTTATTTTAATATGTATTTTTAGGTTGTTTTACATCATCCAGAGCACACGTTATCAGGTCCACAAGAAATTGGGTACAAGTTTTTTTAGTATATAATAATAGTTTTTTTAAAATAAGATGTTTATCCTCTATTTAATTACATTTATGCGCAGTTAGTTATACGAATTCAAAAATCGAGTTTTGATAAGTTGTACTTTTGCATAATTTACTTGTAATCTTAAATTTTAAGTAAACATTGGTTTTATTATCTGCAGTTAGTTACACGAATTCAAATATGAGATGAAATCGGATAGGGATGAAATCGGATAGGAATGAACGGGTTTTACGAGTTTTTAAGAGTTTTAGCCAAATGTTTTATAAGATAGTATAGATTTAAGGTAAAACAAATTTGGGTACCTCGGCTAGGGTTCATGAGGGAGACACAAACGAGAGTCAATAGGCCAAGAGGAAGGGAGAGACTCGAGCAAAATCAGATAATGGTGAGCAGCGATGAGAGTTGATGGCGAAATTCAGCGGTGAGAAATGGGGGGGGCAATGAGGGGGGGGGGGGAGAGAGAGAGAGAGAGAGAGAAGGGTGTGAGGGTGGAACTTGGAAGAGAAGCAAATGAGAGCGACAATGGAAAGTGAGGGAGAATTAGGTATGGTTCAAATTTGGGGGGAAAGAGTAAAAGGGGAATAAATGACTTAATAAATGGCGGAGAACAAAGGACATCACTTTTGTAGCTGAGCGATTCACCCCGTCGCTGGCCGAATAAGCTCATACCGAACAACTAGATATGGTTGAGCGAATAAGTCATATCATTTATATAGCTCATTAAGCTCCTACCGAATAACCTCTTATTAAAGGTCCAAACATGTATTAATTAATTACATTGGAGAAAAAAACATGTAAAAAAGTTAATTGATCATTTTTTATAGTATTACCTATTGTTTTTGTAAGTTATTCATCTAGTGCCAAAATCTAAAACTATTTATCTGGTAAACATTGATATATTCTTCATCATTCATTTACCACTGACTTTTTTAATTATTTCATTCGCATGAATTCTATTTTTGTACTAAAATATAACATATTTATTGTTATTAATTAAAACTTCTACATTTCGAAAAAAAAATAACCATATGAAACACTCCAACTTTATATATATA